AGGGAGATAGTAAGGAAATTTCGAATAATTTAAAAAAAAAAAGAAAACTTTTTATCTTCTATATGCGCATACATTAGCAGATAGATATACATCTGAAAAAAATTACTATTATACAAAAAAAAAAAAAAAGAAAAAGAAAAAAATAAAAATAAATAAATAAAAATAAAATAAAAAGAAAAAAGAAAAACAAGAGAGAGAGAGAGAGAGAGAGAGAGAGAGAGAGAGAACAAAAAATCGACAAAGACAACAATCTGCAATAAATATTTTAATTGAACAAAAATAATGAACAAAAGAGTTCATTATTAAACGTGTTAGAAAATAAAACGTGTTGTGTCAGCGTCGATGAAAAGGTGCTAAAGGTTAAAACATCATATTCGAATAAGATAAAAAAAAGAAAAAAAAAAAAAAGAGAGAGAAGATAGAAGTCGAAGGAGAAATTCTATAAACACGCTATGCATTCTTTATGTACATGCATACATACTATACAAGAGTTACTGACATAATATAAACGTGGCGTGGTCACGATAGAGCAACGCGTTACTGCCAATCTCCTTCACGGTCGTTAGCGCACCTGCTCGCACGTGCACGCACGCGCACTGGCCCGTGTAATATATTTCTCTGCGTGCTTGTGCACCCACCACCTATACTCAAAGACTCGACGAACTCGTATATAGATATACACAAACGCGTTTACAGAGTGCATCGGACGCCGCCACGCCGTGAGGACGATCGATAACCAGGACCTTCGAGTTATCGCGCGACTTTTGAAACAAAACTGACCATTCAATATGTCATTTTATTTTTATCCTATAACAACTATAACCATAACTTTATCGTAACGTTAAAAGTATATTATATTATGTTTTATTGTTATTATTAGATAGAATATATTTATTTATTTATTTATTTATTTATTTATTTATTTATTTATGATGCAAAAAAATTAATTGAATATTATCGATATTATAAAATTTAATATATCGACGTGTTTGTTTGTTTTCATATTTATATACGTATATATGTATGTATATATACACCCTGTTTGTAGATACCTACATGCGATCAGAAACTTTATTGTAACTCTTTATAAAGGATGCATATAAAGGGAATATTACTCGGAAAATTGATCGGTCGCAAATTTGTTCCGATCGGAAGAACGTCAAAACTATTCCACGTGCGAGATCGTTCCCTTTGTGTTATGATCCTACTATCATTGTATCATTATTAATATATGAAAGAAAGTAATTATCTATAGACTGATAATTTCTACGCGTTGAAAATATTACGGGGAAATATCGAGGAATAGAAATTCGTAGGAATGAATTTATTTTAATACCTTAAAACACAAACGTAGGATATATCAGTATGTTGCTATTGTCTTTTCTTTTTTTTTTTTTTTTTGTTTTCGTTTTTTTTCGAGAAAATTTTTCGCAAACTGAAATCGACGTACGTATTGGATAACTAATAGCATGTCTACGAATTCTCTCACTTTGGTTAACATGCAACGTCGAGAAACTTCAACGAATTTTGTGAGGAAATTTGGTTCAGCTATCCGGCAGATCGAGAATTTCCTCTCGTACGTGGATTATCCGTAGGTACTTATCGCGTTAAAGCGCTTATCTGAAAATTCGTGATGAATTTCGTCGTTGATTACGTTGTCAGGAGTACAGGCTTAACAAGCAACGGCTGGTATTAAACTTTCAAGATGACAAACCGCTGCTACGACACCTGAATAAATGAGAACCTTCGAATTCGGATTGGACTTCGAGAAAGCTTTTTCGAATCCTTCACATACCTATATGAATCAAACACTCACATGATATTCATGTACGCACACAATTATATCCAGTTAATTCTTCTTTTCGGATTTGCGCGTTTTATTGAAATCGATTCTTTTTTATACACTTTTAATCCCTATGAACGTGTTAGAAAGACAATTACTTCAATAATGATATTTCGTAATACTAAACGATCTGTCTATTTTTTTCTTATATTCTTTTTATATATATATATATATATATATATATATATATATATATTCATATTATATTCTATTGTCATATATTGACAATAGAATATAATATACCACATATGACGAGAGAAATAATTAAAATTTTTCGATTCAGTTCCGATCGATTCGTTGGGGGATATCGAGGATTTAACCGGGAGAAACGATAGTACAATAAAATTGGTGAAATCCCAAACGAATTTAATGATTTTAGCACCAATTTGTTCCATCGAACTTTATTCTACAACGAATTATTTTGAATTTCCTCATGCAGTAAATTTGATTCGAATGCGGTACGTTGCATGGTAAATTAAAAGTTAGTCTTTTCAGGTACATTATATTAAGTCCGATAGAATCGATTTAATTAATATTCTTCTAAAACGAGATCGAAATTGTCGCAAAATGCTAATAATCGTGTTCCAATTTATCTAAATTTTAAATAAAATATGGACGACTCCGTTAAACCTTTTTCATTAACGTAAAAATTACTTCGAATCATTTTTGTTTTATATATATATATATATATAAGTAGTAGAATTAGTACTTTCTCGAAAAGCGAAAGAGCTTTTCGTTGATACATTCGCGGTCGAAGTAAAAGCTTTAAACTGGAAGGTCTCAAGAACCGAATGAACGCTTTATTTTATCTCGAATTACTGTCTCGAGTTTAAGGAGGTCGTGGGAAGAGACGATTAAAAGTTTAAGCTGAAATAATGCCGTCACTGTCACATGGACAAACTGGATTCTTCGAAAAGGAGAAAGTTTTTCTTAGCCGAGGTAACACGAGTTTTAGGAAAAACTTTTAACAGATGATTTAAAAAGACTTCAACGGCACACTTTTTAAGCGAACCTGTTTAATGCGTTTTACTGATTTTCTACGGAAAAAAAAATTCTTCGATAACTTTCGTCGCTATATAACTTCATTCTTATATATTTCACTTTTGTTTATGATCTTGATTCGATGAGATATAAATTATAAAATTATTCTTACTTTTTGTTCTCCATTCCCAAACCCCGGCCCCTGTCCTATCCACCTATGCGTATAGTTATTTTATATTCTTATTAGAAAAGAATTGTGTATAAAAAAAAAAAAAGAGCAAGAAAAAACAAACAAAGAAAAAGATAGAAAATAAAAAAAAAAAAAACAGCTACGAATGAGAGAAATGAAAGGAGAAATAATTAGACACCGTATAAATTTTATACTCGAGTTCCAGCAACGATCGCAAATGTACAGGGGAAATTGAATTTCCAGGCGTGAAGAAAATATCTTCTACTTTCCGATTCTCTCTATTGACGTCGAGTTCACAAGTGAATACGTGGCTGGACGTTGCTATCGTTTTCCGACACGAACGTATAATCTCGCGATTCTCGCCAGCCATATGGCGCGCTTGTTTTTGGTGATTAACGGTTCTGACATCTGTGACTGATCATAAAACAATCAATAAGTTCACGTCCAGATGATAGCTTCGACGAGAGAACTCATTATGTCGAGCCGTCTATATACCGAACGAACGAAATAATATATTTTCGATGAAATTCTTCAAAAGGGAATATTGAACACTTATCATTTTTTATTAATTAATAAATACAAATTTTCATAATTCATAAATTGACAAAAAGAAATTTTCGAAAATTTTTAATACATTAAACCCATGTCATTTTTAATTAATCAAAAATTCGAATAAAATCGAAATATTAAATGAATCATCGATAAACGAGTAATTTGATTCTTGATCAAGGATCGATCGATCATTCTATATTATAAATTTATCATAAATATATTATAAATTTACGAATATTCAAAAGTAAATGATATTTTCAAAAAAAAAAAAAAAAAAAGAAAAAAGAAAAAAAATCTCGACAATAGCAACGAAAAAATTATGTAGGTAAAAGAATTAATAATTTTTTCGTCGTTACCAAAACGTAACGAGATATAACTCGAATAACTCTAAAACATTCTAAATCACTAATTTCAATTCTTCTCGCAAAAGAATTTTAATCCGGATTCGTGAAAATCGTAATCGCCTTCGTCAGGCACTTTCCAGCCTCTCTGTTCTATTCGCCTCCCAGCTCTCTTTTTTTTAGTCCCTTCGAGCCGCCCACAACATTCGCTTTATTCACACAGTGAATTCTCCAGTTGGAAGGCCAAAGCCAGGGAAGAAGGGAGAACGATAGAGAAAGAAAGAGAGAAAGAGAGAACGAGAGAGAGAAGAGAGAAATAAATAAATCGAAATCGTACGGGGATCCGATCGGATTTCGCGTTTTCACGAACGTAAACGCGAGCTCGTTGTTCCTACTGCGCATGATCGTAAAACGAATGCCCGGAGAACGGCTCGAAGGGTGGAAGGAGACATGGGAAAAATCTAGGAGAAGGGCTCACATCCGGATTTCATCACCATCGATGCCGACCGGCACCGGCGACGTTCCTGTGCCTCGACGTTTCGCATTTCCGGAATTTCGTGGTCCGTATAAATTAATCCTCAGGATTCTCCTTTTTTGCTCCCTTTTTTTTTCTTTGTTTTATTCTTTTTCTCGCTTTCTTTTCGATACCCAGGATTTCCACAAGCACTCTCACAGATCAAGGAGCTTTCATGGCATCCCTCTTCTTCTTCTCTCTCTCTCTTATTTTTTCCTCTAACGCTAGTTCTCTCAACCGATCTCGAACGAATTTCATTCCCTATTTACGAAAAATATCGTAGCGAGTTTTTTGTGATCCAAAGCGGGGAAACTTGAATGAGAAACGAGAGTAATACTATTGTATTGTTTACCTTTTTCTTCTGTTCTTTTTTTTTTTTTTTTTTTATCTCCTTTAAATGTAAAACGACTCTTCTGTATCGTAATATTCTTTCTTGACTCTTTTAGATCCGTTCATTTATGAAAAATATATATATATATATGTATGTGTGTAAAAAAAACTGTTTGTTCTACTTTTAATAAATATTTAAGAATATTTCTAACGATTCATTCGAGATTTCTTTCTTTTTTTTTTTTTCAGTTGTAGAAAATGACTTTCCGATGCAACAGACAAGTATGGAGAACAATTTAGAAGATAATTTAGCTCGCAACGATGGTAAGATAGTTCGTAAAATAAAATGCTTATTCTTTTTCTTTTTTTTTTTTTCTCCTTTCTTTCACAAGCAAGTCACGATTATTAACTCTCGATTTGTTCATTTTCTGTTAACGTAGAACACGAGGAAGATGAAGAGTATGACGATGAAGAGGATGTCGTGACAGAGGAAACGGATTTTAAATTAAACGAATTTGTGCATAGGTATAATAACTTGAGCGAGTTCGACTTAAATTAAAAGATACTGTATTTGAAACAAATAGAATGTTTATATTTGAACAATGTTTAATTAATTTTCGTAGATTTGCAAATATAAAGATCGTTAAAGCATTGACCATTCTTCTGCAACAATTCAATAAGAATACTAACGAGGTCAATCATTATGTCACGAAAATGTTGCACAGAATCGCTTGGGAGTGTAAAATGCCTGCTATGATTTTTCAAGCATCGATATTTCGAACTTTTCAAAAGATCCTCGACTCGAAATATTCTGAGCACAAGGTATGGGATTAAAAAAATTTGTTTTCTTCTTTTTAATATCTTCATCAATCAAGAGTTTATCATACGAGAATAGATTTATTTAAATAATGTAATGATAAATTATTATTGTACATATTTCATTTTAAAAAAGATATTAAATAATATCGATATGTATATTAATTAAAAAAATGTATATAAAATAATGTACTAATAATATATTATAAAGCTATTATATATTGGATATGTTAAATCGATTAAAAAAAGAAGAAAAAAAAAAAGAAGTAACAAATCGATCCCTCTTGGTAAAGACAGCAATGTGTACTTTAGGAGCTCCAAAAGTTCGCAATCTTCATAATCCGTCGTTTCATCGAAGTCGCGCAGAAGAACCGGAAGTCGTATATGGAGTTGCTCTTCTGGAAGAACACGCGCGACGCGACGCAAATCGTCGAGGGTTACAATACCGAGACGGATAAGAAGAAAGTTTTGCGTGGTGTTTGGACGGAGGAGGAGGAGGACGAGTTACGAACCCTCTTCATGGAACATCAGACTAACAAGCCTTCGGAAGGTACAACTCACTCTCTCTTTCTGTATATAACTATGAATTGTATTATTCTATTGCTTTGTATTATACGTAGTTACGTAAATTCCTAATATATAGATATTTGCAATGATTCATAATAGTTCATTTTTTGTCATTGCTACAATTAAAAAAAAAAAAAAAAAAAAAAAAAAAAAAAAAAAAAAAAAAAAAACTATATGTTATATAAAATTTTCAACATAGTTTATCAAACATAATAATTTCTTTCCATTAATAAAAATATTTAACAATTTTGATACGGACAATTGAAAAGAATAAATTTCTACGATTTGAGAATTATTTCGTTTTGTCAAATTTACATTATTACTTTTCTTTAACATAATCATTTCGATTTTACCCATTTAATATCATCTATTATTATGAAATGTATTGCGAGATAAGTAGAAGGTAGGAAAATTTGAAATTAAATCGTAGCACGCTCCCCTTTTTCATGCGTCTCAGTATAATTAACGTGATTGTATTTGATAATTATGTGGTACGAGGAAGCAGCATACCAATTAGAAATGAGATTTAAAAAAAAAAAAAAAAAGAAGAAAATTCAAATCCTTCGTTCGTTCGTTCGCTCGCTCGCTCGTAACGATATTTCATAAGAAAGTACTCGTGAGCGATCATTATCGAATGGAAAACGTGGCTTCGTTAAATATCATCGACAAAACGATTTTACGTGAGCGAAGAAAATCACCGGTTAAGATGAAATCGTTGATACGCGATCGAGGTTCGAAAAAGGAATCAAGTGAACCTGGATTTTGATATCTTTCGAAATTAAGATTAAATTCGTTTTTCGCGATGAAGCAGACAGAATAGGGCTGGTAGGTGGGGATATATGGGAGAACTGGTGATGGGAATTGGTACGGGCGAATCGTCTATGTGATTTATTAGATCAACGATAACAATGTCTTCGTTTCTTGGTTAACCGAATCACGTAGCTCAACGGATGATGCAGTTATCCCCTAGCCTCTAGGCCAATTCATGGATAATATCGATCGTGTATAAATAGTTGAATCAACTTTGCCCTTGAATCAATGTCTCTATGGATTTGTAACTGGCAAGTACGATTTTGTTGGATTTTACAATAACATAAATTTTCCCCGTAGCGAGATTAAACCATGACTTTTTAATAGCCATTTCATCGAACATTTAACGAATACCTCGATAAAATTTATATAAACGTTAATTTCGTGTTCTTATTTCTTGAAAAATTTTTCAACGTGAAATATTTTTTCACTGTATCATTTATAATCATCCCTCAGGCACAATTTTAATTAACAAACAACATAAATTAATTCCGATTTAATTAATAAATAATAATAAGTATATTTTTATAAAAGTATGAAAAAAGAAAAAAAATGCACGTCGATCGAAGGAACGAATTTAATAGATGATGTTAATACAATCGTACGTTTGAATTTTTATTTTTATCTAAAGGAAAGAGAGCAATTCGTGTGACTAGGTTGTTTGTGGTAGACCAGCATCCTACGAGTTCGTCGTGTTGTCTTTCTACGTGGATGCCTGAGAAAGGGAGACAGGCATTGTTCTCAACTTCTAACGCAGGGTCGACATTTCGGTGTAATGAGTTGAGGAAGCATAGAGAGCGAGAGAGAGAGAGCGAGAGAGAGAGAGAGAGAAAGAGAGAGAAGAAGAGAGAGAACTAGAAAGAGAAAAGGGTGTCAGTTTGACTCTCCCAGGTGACCACGCGATAAAATTGTCGTGAGCAGGGTAAAAGTGGCAGGAAGGATCAGTGCTTTCAACTCGGCAGAATTTCCTGAAATTACGTCGTAATTGTGGGCGTGACGCGAGAAAAAGCCCTTGTTATTTCTCGTTTGTTCGTTAAATCATCCTTAGAGTAGATTTACAAGAAGGAGGAGACCATAGAAAATTATTTTGCGTCCAGCGAGATACTTCGTCTTCCATTATGTATTTCTTTGTTTTTTCCTTCCTGTTCCTTTTTTTTTTTTTTTCCTTTTTTTTTCTTTTTTCTTGTTTGTTTCAATTTTTTGTTTCTTCCTTTTCTTTCTTCCTTTTTTTCTTTTCTTTCTATCTTTTTTCATCTCGAACCACCAAGCGTATCGATTAATTTTCTTCGTACTTCCTACGTCACCACACTACCACCACCCTATCATCACCCTATCGCTCGTATTATATTCGACGTTCTTATCTCGAGTCCTATTTTCTTCCAGAATAATTGTCTTCTCCGTAATATTAATCATTCGTGCAAATCTCCTTGGAGAATCGAATATTAATGCTGCAATTCTTGACTAATGATCTTCTTTTTTTCTTTTCTCTCTCTCTCTCTCTCTCTCTCTCTCTCTCTCTCTCTCTCTCTCTCTCTCTGTTCTTTTTTTTTCTTTATCTCTTCTCTTCTTCCTTTTTTTTTTTATTTTCTTTTTTTCTTTTATCTCTCCTGTTTTTTTTTTTTTCCTTTTTTTCTTTCTTTTATCTTTAACAACGACGGGTATAATACGTGAATAAATAATGATAGAGCAAATAAAAGAATTTTCGTCGTTAGAGATTCATCAATTCGTTACAAGTCGTTAAAGTGCTCCATGCGGAAATACCGATGACCCAAGCAAAAGATATAAATAACGCTTTTCTTTTCCGTTTTCTTTTTCATATTCCATTCCTCGTATTATTTATTTCGGATCGACAAAACGAACGAAGCTCAAGAGATAATAAATATAAAACGTTCACCGGGAATGTTAGATTGTAGAACATAGCAGATTTATTATTTTCTGCCTTCATTAATACAATAAAGCTAAGATGAAATCTCGAACGGAAGTATACTTGATATATAAAAGTGGAAAGGGGAGATATAAAGTATGCCTGTGCTATTGTTTCAGATCTGATCGATTGGATACTCAACAGACTCATCAACGAAACTCGCACACGTCGTGGTGTTATTAAGAAACTGAAAGAGATGTGCTTAGTCGTCAATTCCAAGGTACGTAAGTTTTGTGCCGGTATCATATATACATATATGTATGTATGTATATGTATATATATATATATATAAGCCAACTTTTAAAATATGTGTCGTTCAACATCCTACTTGACACTCTACTTTTGCGATAATCCTACTTTGCCGAGTCATACATTAAAGAAACACGTTGAATTAGGCCAACACGGCTTTTCCATTTCCCCCTTTGCGTTCCACGAATTCGTTTTTCTTTTTCCTTCTTTTTTTTTTTTCTTGTTTTTTTTTTTTTTTTTTTTTGTTCCCCTTATTTCTTTTTTCTTTCCTTCAACTCCACGCGAACTATCGTGTGATGGAAGGAGAAGGCGAAAAAGAAACAAACAAGAAAAACAAAAAAGAAAGAAAGAAGATGAACGATATAATGCTAGTGAAAAATATTTAATATTCTCTATTTATTCAGCTATAATATATATGTATGTATATCCTATTATCCGATAATCAAATATCATAAAATTACTCTTTCTCTCTCTCTCTCTCTCTCTCTCTCTCTCTCTTTCTTTTTCTTTTCCTCTCTTTTTATTTCTAAGAAAAATATCTTGACCTTCTTCTTTGTCCATCGTCAATTCATGAAACGATCGACAGGAGAACACGGCTGGTCCAAGCAAGATCGATCGAAGCCAAAATGACAAAAGTAAGAACGATAAGAGGAGACAAGAATGGCCACCAAAGTTAAAAAAAAAAAAAAAAAAAAGGAAAGAAGAAAGAAAGAAAGAAAGAAAGAAGAAAAAAGACAGAAAGGATTCTGGGAAGCGTTCCACCTAAAAGATTGTTCATGATCACGCCTGCTGTTGCTCGTATCAGCGTTTACGGGAAAGTATTTGAACGTTCTTTCGATCCTCCTTTCACTCTTCTCCACTTTTTTTCTCTTCTCCCTTCTCTTCTTCCTTAGTAGCGAGTTGCTGCTTGGCGGCTGGGCGTACGTGACAGGATCGATGATTTACGAGGATTGCGAGAAGGGCAAAGGAGTAAGATGCGAAATAAGAAAGATGGAGATAGAGAGAAGGAGAAAGACGGGCCGCGAAAATAAGTTTCTGGACTACCTTCGTAGACGGCCTGAACATATGCAAAAAATGGAGCTCGGGAATTGCTCCAGGAACTGTAAATTCTCTAGGGAGACAATTCCTACTTGGAGCTCCACCTTTCCCTCTATTTCTCTCTCTTTTTCTTTCTTTCCTTTTCTCATACGTCTCTTTTCTTATTTCTTCTCTCACGACGATTTTCTCTCTCTCTCTCTCTCTCTCTCTCTCTCTTTTCTTTTCGCATACATCTCTTTTCTTATTTCTTCTCTCACAACGATTTCCCTTTTCTCTCTCTCTCTCTCTCTCTCTCTCTCTCTCTTTCTTTCCTTTTTCTACATCACATTCTCCTTCCTCTTAGCTCGTCTTCGCGAACGGATCAAGGTTTCCGTCGACGGGTTTCTATAGCCCGCGTATGCTGCTTTCATGCCTCTGCTTTCCCTTCAGTAAAAGTACGAAAATATCTTAGCCTTTCCCTTCGTCACCACCAATACTCCATTTCCGTTAACTTCTTTCCTTCTTCTTCTTATTCTTCTTCTTCTTCCTCTAAATTCACTATCTCCTTTTTTTTGTTTTCCTTTTTTCTTTTTTTTTTTTCCTTGCTCTCTTTCACAATCTTTCTATCTCTGTCTTTCTATCGCGGTCTTTTATTTCGCGGCGTGAAAAGCTATCGGTACGCGTGTTTGCCTTTTGCCCCGTGCAATACACATATATAAACATTTATATCATCCTCTTGAGCTCTCGAAAATAGGCGAGGGTGAAACGAGAAGACGAGTGGAGGTTTTACAAACGCGCCGGGTCCCTACTCTCCTTCCCTCCCTCCCACCCTCTCTTCCTATCGCCCTCTCACTCTTCTCTTGCTTTAAGAATTCAAGCTAACGGATGGAACACGATCTGGAGGAAAGAGAGCGGAAAAATGTTTCTGTCGATGACGAGGCACCTCGCTGCTTTACAAAACAGAATCTTTCGTATTCATCCCACTTCCCTCCCCCCCCCCTACCCACTCTTCCCTTCCCGTCCCGTCCTGTCCCGTCCCGACTCTTTTTTTACGATCGATAACTCGAAGCAAAAGAAAAAAACACACATGTACGTTAAAGCTTATCGTTTCGAAAAATCAATAATAATTATATCTCGTAAATAATTCCATATCGTTCGAGAATTTATTGTATTTTTAAGGGAATATTTCGTAACTTTCGTAGAATGGATTCGATTATGAAAAGAAAAGGAAAGAAAGAAGAATAGAAAAAAGACAAAGAAAAGATAGAAAATAGTTTCAAAGGATCTTCGTTCAACGAGTCGTAATAGAAGAATTTTCTTCGGTATAGTATTTTCTTGACATTTTGAGCAAGTCTCTTTCTCTCTCTTTCTCTCTCTCTTTCTCTCTCTCTCTCTCTTTCTCTCTCTCGACGTTTTTACGAGCTCACATAATGCTGTCACGTAGAACGAGCTACTGTTTCGGTATAATGTTGAGAATGACACCTTTTGGTTAGATCGCATCCGCGCGCACACATACACACACACACACACATACATATATATATATATATATGTGTACATACACGTACCCTTTCAACGTCGACCAGTCGTGCTTTTATAAAACCAACCAAACGTTTCTCGTAAATCAACCGATGAGTAGAAAGAGAGACAGAGAAAAGTAGCGCCTCTATCGTTTTTATCAATCTGAAACATAATTTTTTCGTGTAACACCTATATCATATATGTCTTTTGACCCGTCGTATGTCTTATCAGTTGCCTGTATAAAGTCATCCGAACTTTTTCCACGAAATTTCTATAAAGAATATTTTTCAATGCCGTTTAACAAGAAAAGAAAAGAAAAGAAAAGAAAAGAAAAGAAAAGAAAAAAAAAAGAAAAACGAAGAAGAAAGAGAAAAATGATTTAGTACTTGATATTTTCGGCAACGTAAATCGGGATCATATCGCGAACGGAGATTAACTCGAGTGATATTTTTTGAAACCAATTTCGACGACCCCTCTGCTGTCAAGCCCATCATTTTTAGAAACGACCACAGAGAATTTCTTATATTATCTCGACGTCATGTAAAACGTAACGGACTTCAAAATTAAATGAAATATCGTACATATATTTCTCATATTTTCACGTTACACGTTGAAATATATTAATATAATTTTTCCCTTTTTTTCCACAAGTTATTTCGATTGTCTATATTTTGATAAACAGCAAGACGATTTAGAGGACAATGGTAAGATAAACGGTGCAAATGTTCGCTTGACATCTGTCTAATTCGTATTGCCATAAGATATTGTAGCGCACCCATTTGCAGCTATTCAGATCCCGTTACGGAGCATAACTCATACCCGAATTGGAAGATTAATCATAGGTGCGCAAATACGTGAAATAGGAGTATATACCTTCCTCTCCCTCTCTCTCTCTCTCTCTCTCTCTCTACTTATCTCTCTATCTCTCTCTCCCTCTCTTTCTCTCTCTCTCCCTCTCTCTCTCCTTCTCTTATTCTCTCACTGTCTGTCTGACTACCCGTCTGTCTCTCATTTGCTTCAATGAAAACCTCATATTCTGCTCCCGTTCACACAGAACGCTTAGCATATACCTCCTATAGAGGTAATTCGAATAATGGTGGCATCGATATCACTTTAACTTCTTGAGTCCTCAAGTAGGAAATTTCTTGAAATCGCTTAAATGACATTGAAACGTCGCGTAGGAAGATAAGAACATTAAAAAAAATTCAATGACATCGAACCAAAGTATCCAAGATCATAACTCTCTCGTAAAGACAAGCTTCCAAGTCAAGATAAGAAAAACGCTGCGTCAGAAGGAAGGAAAAGATTTCTTGTCATGAAAGAAAAAGAGAGAGAGAGGGAGGGGGAGGGTGAAGGAGAGAGAGAAAGTGGACTCGAAGCTCATTCTTTCATCCTTTTAACTTTACTTCCATGAAGAAACATTTTCTCTAAAGAATAATATTCAAATTTCTCAACACAAAGAATCGTATATTTTTATAAAAATTGAATAAGCACGGTAAACCGTAGATGTACAAAGATTGAAGAACTCATCTTGTAATCGATCGTTCAGAATATTTCTTTAGAAACTATCTATAATATTTCGATTAATACTTCCCTTACTTCGTTCTAGGTCTCGCTGATATTAAAAGCATTTCTTGAATATTTCATAACGTGTAGCAAGTGCATCACTGAAGTCTGCATATTTTTAATTCCTTGAAATACGCTTGAAATCGATCCCTTTCTTCACCTTTTATATAGATGTTAAAGATCTTGAAATAATAACCCGTTCATTGATTTTCAATATATCGCACTTATCGATGATTGAGAGAGAAAAAGGGAGGGGAAAAAAAAATAGCAAGAGATATTCAATAGACCGTATTCATTAGGAAGGAATGAGAAGACTAAAATTAAACGAAGTTTTCTTTCTGCGTAACATATACAGAATCCCTCTCGCAGATCTTCGATCTGCCATTTCATTATTCGACGATTGACGTCATTCAACTCGTGAAAGAACAATTACGTAGCTCTCGAAATTGACGATTAATCATAAGTGTCCGATCGTCATCGGCCGATGATAAGAGGTATGATGGTTCTGCAGAACTTTCAAGTAGGTTCTTTCGATAAACGAGTAAAGTAGAAAATCAGAACGAAAGATCGAGATCGACAGGAGGACGGGGTAAGGGGGGTGGGGAGGAAAAGGGCTGACCCTATTATTTATTCCTTGACAAACTCTCTTCGAAGGAGAGCTTAGGCAAGGAAGCGTTTCATTTAAATAATTTCATGCGCGAGTACGCTTCACCCTCGTGACTCGAAAAGCACCAAGGAATAGAGAGAAACAGAGGTAGAAAGAGAGAAAGAGAAAGAGAGAGAGAAAGATTCCTTCACAGAGTAAAAGCAGAGCGTGTTCGTTTGACATTCATTTAGTTCATGGAGTAGTAGGCGACAGCCATTTAGGCATTGGCCTTCGTAAAATCCCTTTCTGTCTCTATATCTCTCTTTCTTTTTCTTTCTTAAAGAAAGAGCGAAAGGTTAATCGTCGGAAAATGAGCTGATGGTTCTCCTCGTATTTTTTACTCGAACGCATTCTGAAATTATAATCACATTGAAGATATTCCTCCTTTCTTATTCTTTAATCATGTTCAGGCTGTAAGAAACGAGATACAGAAGAGGTTACCGAAGGAATGGTCCGAAGAGGAGATCTCTCAACTCACAGAACTTTGGGAACAATTGAGAGAGGATGAAGGTAATTACCGTATTTTATTTTTCCAACTTATATACTTTTTATCATCTTTATTTCGTGTGTTTATGACTTTAATATGCCTGAAGGTTTCCTTGATATTACTAATATCTACTCTTCGATCATTTTCCACCGAAACCTTTTTGTCCTCTTTTTTTTTTTTTTTTCTTTTTTTTTAATATATATAAATATATCAATCCACGTATCTATACGATTTTTTAATTATACTTCCTTTCCCTTTAAAAAAAAAATTATTTGATGTAAATGTATTAAATGATTTAAAACAAATCGTTTAGGAATCATTTGAAATAATAATATTTAATTCATGTCTATTTGACAGATCCAGTGGAACTTATTTACAATGGTTTAAGAATAAAACGAACAAAATTGAAGATCAAAGAAAAGCTTTTAGAATTGGGACTAGTCAAGGATCGAAAGGAACTCTATAAAAAACGATCTAGAAAAAGTAATCACGGTGAGTTATCCTCTCTTGTCCGAAGTGGACTCATGTTTCTTAACCCATTCCATTCCATTCGCATTTATCTTTTTTACCATACTCAAAGAAAATCCACCAGCATGGATCCAAATGGTTAATGCGATCATTGAAGACAATGTATGAGAGTGAGAAAAACATAGAGAAAGAACTCCTCCCTCTCGCTCGAACGTACAAAATAGCTGAGATCAATTTTTAGAGTGATCAGTTTTTTCTTTTTGTTTTTTTTTTTTTCTGACGTTTAGCCTTTCCAGAAAAAAGCCTGTTACCGATATTACCAGCAGTGAACGAGCTTCCTACAATTTCTACTTCTCGATTCGTCATAGTCATTCATATATATATATATATATATATATATATATATATATATATATATACTTAGATAATATGTACATATAAATATTATATGTACAAACAAATTCGACGTCAATTTATAATTGAAAGAATTGACACATGATAGTCTTATTGTTAGCCTAAGAATGAAATAACCTGAATAGAAAATAAACAATATTAATAGTATTTTTTTTTTTTTCTTTGTATTTTGCAACCAACTTATATTTAATTATTTAATCCATTTGATCTCAATTACGCAATTTCATCACATACGTAAATACGTACATACATGTATATATCCTTTTTCCTTTCAAACTCATTATTCTATCTCACGTTTCTTCCTTCTTTCACTTCAGTCTCGTAATTAATTAGCATATTTTTCTACGTTCAATGCATCGTATATATCTTATTCTATTCATTTGCTTGAAGTGCAAATGAAAATGTATCTCTGATGTTCTCCAGATCCAATACCGTCGTCGGTCTACGGCCGACGTAAAATCGAGGATCAATTAATTACCAAGCGTATAGTTTCTCTCTTTCTCTCTCTCTCTCTTTTTTCTCCTTTTCTTTCTCTTTCTTTCACACACACACACACATACCCTCTCTCTTTTTCTTTTATATATCTTTTTTTTTTAATCCTAGATATATATATATAGCGAAAGGTTCGCGGTTCGGTCATTTTAATTTCCCGCAAAAGTCTATCTTTTTCTCTCTTTCTTTCACTCTACCATCGAAACGAATCTCCTTATTCATTGTATTATAGATATCTGATGGAAATATTTTATAAAACGATGGAATATTTCATCAACGAATATATATATATATATATATATATATATATATATATATATATATATATATTTATATAGTAAATTTCACGAAGGATAAAGATTTTTATAACGATGAAAATTTTGATCAGCGTTGATCGAATATCCTTTATATTCGACGTACTATCCATTTACAACCGTAATACAACTTATTTGGTTTCCAATTTCCAATTCTTTTTTTCCTTTTTTTTTCCGTTTTTTTTTTTTTTTCTTTTTTTTCTTTGTTTTGTATGTTTTAAAGCTTTCAACGAGATTATTCCTGATACGAGGCGTTCACCCTCGTTACGTATTCATCGATTTCATTTTATCTTTTCGAACGTGACGTTCACAGTTATATAATCCACAAATTTTGCAGTAGAAATATAACGAAATTAAAATTCACCGCATACTCCTTGTCGCAATTATACCCTCGTCGTGCGTTCTTATCCGCTCCATGGACTGCAGCTGCGAAATTCTCTCTCTTTTTCTCTGTCTTTTTCTCCCTCCCCCTTTCCGTTCTCTCTCTCTCTCTCTCTCTTTCCCCTTCTTTTTAACGCAACTTTTCAGGAAAATTCATCCCCCTCTCAGAGAAGCTCGTTATTTCATTTGGAGGCTTCGCAGGCGTCTTTACTTTTCCGACGGATACATCGTAGAAACATTCCCGCGTATTCATTATTATTTTATATTTTAAATTTATTGGCTTTGTTTCATTATTTTTATTTAAGCGAGCGAGAGCTCGTCAATAACATTCGACACATTTATCATTGACATTTAGAAAACTACATACTTTCAAAGAGAAGTAAAATTTAATTAAAAAAAAAGGAAAAAAAAAAAAAAGAAAAAAAAGGAATATGATAGAGATAGTATAAATGATTTGAAGTATTTTAAAATCGTAAATAGTTTCTTTCATTTCCTTTTTTCTTTTCTTCTTCTTTTTTTTACTTTTTTTTTTCTCTTTTTCTTATTTTTGATATGTCGAACATATCTATATGGGAATTTGTTGACATCCTGTTTAGTATCCACTATCGTACATCGTATATCGTTTAGTTATTTTTATTGCACCCTCAGGATATAGACAAATTTGTAACCAAGAGAGAAAGAGAGAGAGAGAGAGAGAGAGAAGGAGAGCGGAGAGGGAGATTCGGCAGCTCGATAAACATGTTCTCTCGTTTAACATTGGACTATTTCAACAATAAAACACGTGTAACGTTATATGTTCGACTTCAAAACGAATACGTTTGTCCGATTCGATATTCACGATATGCATGCACCTTGATGGCTTTTTAACCGTTTTAAATATTGACGAAATAGTGACAAAATGATATTTGTTTTTCCTACCGTCACGTCACAACGAAAGCTCCCGTAGTTCGTGCTTGAATTTTCGCGGAATACAAATCTTGTTATTTAATATAGAAGAACGCGCAAGAAATGCAGTCCCATTGCACTTCTCCTCTTACTCTTACTCTCGTGCCAATAACATTCTTTTCTTTCTTTCTTTCTTTCTTTCTTTCTTTCTTTCTTTCTTTCTTTCTTTCTTCTTTCCTTTCCTCCTTCCTTCCTGCTATCCGTTATGGCACTACATGGTATTTCATATTTATCGTGGATATTGTTTTTCCTTCTCTTACCTTATTTGTATTCAATGCATTACAATGTATCCTATCCTAGATATATAAGATCGAGAGATGAAGTGTAACGGACGGCTTTGTCTCGTATCGAATGGAAAACGTTAAAACATTTTGTAGAACGTTCGAGTGGGTATCATAATTGTTCCACACGCGCAATCGATCTCGATAACGTGGAACGCGCGAGAATGAAAGTGTCATTCTGTCCAGAGTTGATGGTTTCTATCCTGGATAGGCAATTTGACAAATTTCATTAACAATTCGAGAATATAGAATACAGAATAGAAAATATAGTGATTCGCAAAATCAGATATATATGTTTACAATCGTAATTATTTTTTTTTTTTTTTGATATATTTATTTTTTGTTTTCTCTTCTTTCTTTTTTCTTTTTAATGACGACATTTTTTATTTGCAATTAATAAGAATATTCTGTAAAAGGAAGGTTACTTCTATCGAAGTATATTGCATTTGCTTTAAGAATTTTCAAATCTTAATGTTTATAATATGAGATCAAATTGAAAAATTGGAATAATATTGAATGATTTGAAAGAAATTAAATATTTAAATAACTAAATTAATAAGTTATGTCGCAAAAGAAAATCATATGAAATCTAATTAAATGACTAGAACGAATAACAATATGATTAGCATTCATATATATATATATATATATATATATATATATATATATATATATATATATCCAAATTGTAACCATTTAATTAAAATTATAACTACATACGTATGTAATGTTTTTACACAAAAAACGAAAGAAAACGACGAAATTGTATTAGAACGTTGAAAAACGATAGAAGCAAGTCGTGCGTTTTAGGATTCGCCAATGAACAGAGGATGATAGTACCTTGAAAAAGGTTTTATATCGTTTTTCCACGTGTTGTTGTGCGCAAAGGAAAATCGTCGTGGGAAACACAGTCTGGCAGTAATTCTGACGAGGAGGATCGGGACTTCGAGGAAGAAAGTACAAAATCCTCGGGGCGTAACGACGTGGCTCGAAGTAAACCAACGAAAAAGAGAACGACGACGACTACTACTACGACGACGACGACGACGAAGACGAGGACGAGGATGACGAAGCAAGGAGAAAGGTCGAGAAAGAAGCGAGACCAGAAGACGTTTCTTTACACGGATGCACAATTATCTGGACTCTTGAAGGACGTCATTGAAGGAAGTAAGTAAAGAGTTACTTCTCTCTTTCTTTCTCTTTCTTTCTCTCTATCTCTCTCTCTCTCTCTCTCTCTCTCTCTTTCTTTCTTTTTCTCTTTCTCTCTCTCTCTCTCTCTCTCTCTCTCTCTCTCTCTCTCTCTCTATCTTTCTTCCTTTTCACTTCGTGATTTACGATGTACCAAAGAAGAGAAAGAGATGGAAAGAAGTCAACGTCGAAAGGTTGCAAGACTAAAGCTTCGTTCTCGCGAGAAGGACAAATGTCTTCTCGTTGCAGGGGCACCAACTAAGAGGGGTTGAGTTGAGAAAAGGGAAAAAGGGACTCTCGGGACGAATCCTCGCCACGAAAAGCATTACCAACGTGCTATCGCTATCGGTATAGAACCAATGGAGAAATAAAAAAGCAAAATAATGGCTTGTCCCTGTGAAACACCTACTCGGTGTGCAAATGTGGGACACGTCAGATGTAATCCCATCGTCCTTTTCTCTCGTAGACTTCGAAAGCTGCTGTCGTTAGAAAACGACCCTCCTTTATTTCCCGGAGTATCGATGACGATATCTTCGTGCTTTTTGCAATGCTTCCTTGGTACTTTAACACCACTTCGTCTTTGGAAAAACGATTCCATGGCGACAACGCCGATCGAAAACTTTGGACTTTTTGTCCTCTCCTGTTTTTTTTTCTTGTTTGCTCTCCTTATTGTTTTTCCTTTTTCTTTTTTTTTTTCTTTTCTTTCCTTTTCTCTTTGTGTTTTTTTCTTCGTTCTCGTGCAAAATACGCGTAAATATAGATAGATAGGTTTGCGGGCAGGGAACGAAAGATTTATATTGAAAGGCACTAATGTCCTCGTGATAACTTTCTGAGTAAGAAATACGAACAACTTTTGATTCTTACGTCTAATTTGACGTTAGTTTTTGTACCCTCCCTTTTCTTTTCTTTTTTTTTTTCTTTTTTTTTTTTTTCTTCTTTGTTGCTTTTTGTTGCTTTTATCACTAAAGGGAAGTAAAGGAGAAGTGATGAGGATATAAATATAATTTTTCATAACACGATCGAGTTCATTGATAAGAGTTCGTTTCTACAACTTTCGAATTACCTATTGCGGGAGAGGGACAATAAAGGGTCCAACAGCAATTTATTCTCCCTCATATTTCACTTACGATAGAGTGAACTTAACGTTTTACCGAGTATAACGTTCCATGCATTTGGGAGGAAATGGTAACGCATAATAATATTCGACGAAAATGGTAGGATAAAGTTAATAGTCGTTCCCGTAATGGATCTCGTGTATAAGATATCCATGAAAATGTTTTGTCATAAATCAGATATGAAGGAGTCATTGGAATGGATCAAGGAATCCTTAGAAGATGCTTTGGAAGATCGGGATGAGGAAAGCTCAGAAGGAATCCCCTTGGTACCATTGACAGATTATTCATCAAATGCAATGAATTCGACTAGTTTCCAAAAATTACTACGCGCCATGGGCATAGTACCACCAGCGGACCAACAGGAAATCTATTGGCGAATTCCATCGAACATGCTCTCATCTACCATACGAAAACGATGTGTTCTTATTGCCGATTCGTTGGAAGGGAAATTCATTATCGAAGGTAATTTTTCATTTAATTTTAATTGATCGATATAACGAGAGATTTAACGAGTCTAAAGGATCCAAATATCACTGAATATTCGTAGAATGAAATTGTCTTTTATTGAAAGTATTAATATACATATAAGTAAATAAATAAAAATTAATAATATATATATATATATACAAAATAATAATATATATATATATATTTATTTATTTATTTATTTATTTATTTATTTATTTATTAAGTATCAATATATTCGATAGATACATATTTCTCGATATGAAATATATTAAATGAAGGATTATGACATTCATAATTGGAACTTTATTCTTCTTTTTGAAATTTCGTATTAGTTTTTAATTATATAAATATTATTATATATTTATGATTCGTTTTCTTCATTTTAAAAGATTCGCCTGCGAATAATATCGGCAATAATAAAAATAATTCAACCGATGAAAGTGACAGTGACGGCAATGACGACGTATTCGAAAATGTAAAAAGATTTTTCGCGAATAAAGGTACGTTCCAATTGTACGATCCATTCGATATAGATTTAAAGTCATTTAAATTTTCTTCATTTCGTTAAATCTTTTTAGAACCTATACCATCGACCTCACGTGAATCGAATGTACCATCGAACATGGAAAAATCCAAAAGGTCGAATAAACGTGATATAAAAGCTGACGACACCGTCGGGCCATTGGAAGAAGAAAATGAAGAGAATCAGGAAGAAACGGAGAGTAATTTCCAAGCAATCGGTACGTACGATTTGTTGGCGCTTCGTTATGAAGGAGAAAACGAGAAAATAGTACCTTCCTGCCCTCTGTTACTGCTGACGCAAAGCTATTGGATTATTTGGGATTTATCAACGGACGAAACGTTTATTGAGAATGCCAGAAGAAAAGAAAGCTAACATTCTTTAATACAGTTTTATGTTACGAGACTCGTTCGTTCGTGCAATTTCGATTTCGGTCTATAGTTATGTAGTAAAAAAAAAAAAGAAAAAAAAAGAAAAAGAAACACAGAAAAGAAAAGAAAGAAAGAAAGAAAACTTCAACTTTTATTTATTTTATTTCCGACTGATTTAACGGTGCAATCTCTCTCTCAAGACCGATTTCGTAAATGTTATTAACGATTTTCGATTTTAAAGATAACTTTTTCTTTTTCTTTTTTATACACACACACACACACATATATATATATAAATAAGGAAATTCACAATTTTAAGAAAATTCTCGTAGAATTCTATCGATTTGGAAATACTTCACGATAAATAATATTAATATTCTACAGATACTTATCATATTATTCCAATTATAAATTCTTGAGTCCAAATATAAATTCTTTAATTTAAAATATTTAATTACGAACGATAAATCGATAATTCTATAATATATATATATATATATATATATATACTTTCTGTATGTTTAGAAAATGTAAAAAAGGTTTCTAAAGGTCGCCTTAAAGTGCTTTTGGATTCGTCTGAATCTGAAACAGAAATTGAAAGGAAAGCAAATGAATCAGGTATTTAATGGCTCGACATTTTACTTTCGTTTTAATTAATAATTAATTTAATAAATAGAAAAAAAAAAAAAGAAAAATGACATACACTATCTTATTATAGCAGACGAAGGTAAAAGAAATCGAAGTCAAAGTTCCAACGAGAAGGAAACTCCATTGAGCAAAAGACCACGTTTATTGGATAGCGACGAAGATTCTGATGAAACGTTCAAAGTAAAAACTTCGAAAAAATCTAAAATTACTTTTATATCCGACAACGAGGAAGATAATCCAGAAGAAATTTCTACTAACAACAAATCTACGTCCTCACGAATAATCGATAGTGATGAGGAGGAGAGCGTGACGGAAAAAAAAGGAAATTCGAAGCCTACTCGAAAGATAATAAGCGACGACGAAGAAGACAATTAAACGTTCAAGATATAAATCTAATTAGTGTTCTAAATCAACGACGCTTTTATGTTACTATATGATCGTATAAATTTTCATATATATTATTTTTTGAAAAAAAAAAAAAAAAAAAAAAAAAAGGATACTCCATGATAATCGGAAGATCTACGTTAACTACCTTACCAACTCGGTAAGATAAGGTAGGTCCCTCTGTATTATTTTGAACTTTTGAGTTGTTTATTCTAACCTCTTTCCTTTACCCAAGAACTTCTGTACGATCTCCTGGAGGAGTACGAATTACGATATCCCTATTACGTTGGCCTTCGAAACGAGCGATCGTTTACACCCGGGTTACACTTCAGGGTGCCAAGAAAAACAGTTCTCGAAAGGCGTCCACATTTCGCCAAGTAACGACGAAGAGAACATGCGAGCGTGGTGGTGGCGCTGCGATCGTCAACGTATTATGTATGCATACATATATACATATATACATATACACGTAGTTTCTTGAGCTCGTAGTAGAGATAGCATACTAGAGCGTATCGATGATATATATATGTGTATATGTTTATTGAGGAGAGAGGGAAGCACAGTCGTTTAACTTCCTCGCTCGCATGTTAGCCGTGTAACCGATTGGCCAATGTGGATGACTTTACGTCTTTTGATGGGCAGGTGAGGAGTCTTGGCGAGTGTCAACGATACATACGCGTGTATCGGTACGTGATCGTATTCTAGAAACCCATCGACTTGCCTTGGCTTTAACTTTGGATTAGAAAATAATATTCGTTGGTGAACGTGCTTCCGTCGCGTCGACGGTGTTGGCTCCTCGTGAACACAACGTCGACGTCGACCTCGACGAACGTGTGGGACCAAAGCGTAATGTCGCCGTAAAGGACTCTGCGAGTCGCGGATATACGATCAGGCGATCATACTTCAGCAAGTAATCCTGGAATCGAGTCTGTTTATTCAGTTATCTCATTCAAATATCTCCATTCAAGGTTTCATATTTCTTCAATGGAAAACACGTACTCTTCGTCTTTCACTATATTTCGTCTTTTTCAAGAAAGAATAACACATATTTCGTCTTTCTTTCTTCATTGAATCGTATCACGTAAGTAATATTACGGAATTTATTTTTTAAATAAAATAATTATTTTTGTATACAATAATATACGTATACATACATACATACATACATACATACGTACATATATATATATATATATACATATATATATATATACATATATATATATATATATATATATATATATATATATATATATATATATATGTATATATTTATAAAAATGGTAATATTATTGTTAAAAAATAATTTATTGCCTAAAAAAAAATCTATAAACATAGTGTCAATAATAATGATAACAATTCAAATATAAATTATATATACGGAGTATATATTCTTAAATCTAACTACTTAATCTCATGATGAGTAAAATATTGTATATACTATTCCTATGAAGGTAAACGTTAGAGAACGATAGTATCGAACGATAAAACTCCCGGAAGGACGGACGACCACGTGCATTCTAATATCAACTTCCACTTAATGGGAATGCATGAGAGATAAGAAGGTCGAGTACGTTTACGAGACGAGTCCAATCGCGGATTTAAACGTCGAGACGCGTATCCGTAGTAACGAGCGAGTATCCATTCAAGTTGGTACGCTTTGACTTCCACGTTATGTATGCGCTCCTGTTATAAGCGCGGGCTTCTTATACGGTTGTAGGTGGATGACATCCTCTCTCTTTCTCCCTACTCCTTTTTATCAAGTTTCTCGGTGCTTTCTCAAGGTCATCGTCACGCGCGCTTCCATAAATCTCGTGCGCATACGCGTCCTCCTAGAACGGGACTTTATATAAATCGAACGCATAAAAAAAAATTACTTTTCATTAAATATACATATATATATACATATACATATACATATACATAAATATACATATATATATATATATTTATTTATCTTAATTATATTATATAGTAGCATAGTTTTTTTTTTCTTTTTTTTTCTTTTTAGAATTAGTTTGATGATCAAAGCACTAATAACAAATATATTTGTACGATTAGAATAATCGTTAGAATTTTTTTCGAGCTGTTATTAAATTTATAAATGTATACTTTTAATTTTTTGTATTATTAACTGAAAACAAACTAATCGTTTATACGCGTTTATTAATGCTCATTATATGATATAATTAATAATATATCGATTGTATTTTTATTCGAATTATTACGTTTGAAATTAATTTATAATGTTATATAGAGTTGAAAGAGTTTTTTTTTTTTTTTTTTCTTGACATTGAATATATTCTTTTGGTCGATGAAGAAGATAGCACAAGATGTACAAATTTATTAGTTTCACAGATATATGGAAATATAATCTATAAGAGAGATAAAAATGTTGTTCGTGTTAAATTAATGTCACGTTCCTCTTCAGATGAGAGTTCGGATTCGAGCGGTGTTTACATGCGCGCCAACTGCGCGAGTCATCTGCGGATTGTCGTCTTTTTATTAGGAGCGCATGTATTTCAATAAGTTACTCTTAGGTCGTCACTGAATTCATATATATATATATATATATATATATATATATACATATGTATGTATATATGTATATATTTATAATACTAAGCGTAAAAATGGCGAACGGAGAGAAACATTCT